CACACACACACACACACACACACACACACACACACACACACACACACACACACACACAGTCTTACGAAGGTATTTACGAAGTGATTTTACGAGACGAGTTTCTAAAACTTTGAGACTGAGTAGGAAAGACTGCCCAACCTAGGGAGAAGAGCTTTTCGGTAGTGGACAGGATGCGGCTATCGCCATCGCCTCGGTCCCCGGCAGCCTCCTGGAGGGAAGCCGGCTAGTGTTGACGTGGTGCCTCCCACCAACTGCTTCCGGGTCGCGGTGAGTGTCGCTTCCAGAGCAGCATGGCGGCCACGGAGGATGAGAGGCTGGCGAGCGGAGAGGGAGAGCGGCTGGATTTCCTGCGGGACCGGCACGTGCGGTTCTTCCAGCGCTGCCTCCAAGTCTTGCCAGAGCGCTATTCTTCCCTGGAGACCAGCAGGTAACTCGAGGCTGCCGCGGCGGGGCTGGCGATGGCGGCCCTCCGGATGCGCGCTGCGGACCGGCCACACAGCCGGGACCCGCGGGGCTGCCCTGCTGCCGGGGCGGCCCTAACCCTGCTGCTGGTCTTGTCCTTTCTGCTCTGGAGCCCGGGGTCCCTGCCACTCTGCACTTCCTAGGCCCCCTTCTGCCATCGCCGGGCTTCTGCCATCGCCGCTGGCTGCCCGCACTTACTCTCTGCGCCCTGGGAGATGAGTGGAGGAGCTCCAAGCTCAGGACTTTTGGAATCTCTTGGTTCCGCCTCTTTTCACTTCCCAACCATTTTCTGTGAGCTTCCTTTCCCACTTCCTTAACATCCTGTGAGTCACTTTTGTTTCTTGACGTTTTCAAAAGCAGAGTACAGAGCGTTTGCCCATCATCGTTCCTGTCCTGCCCTTCCCCCCTCAATTCTCAATTGACAGGCAGGGCAAACCTCTACTGAGATGTGTTTAGAGTACTATCTCAAGGGATAGGCATGTGGCTCAGTGGTAGAGCAACTTTCTAGCATGCTGCAGTCCATGGGCTAATCCCAGCATTAAAAAAAAGTCCAAAACTTGTTCCCTAACCCGTGGGTAAGTCAACAGAGACCCTAGACGGGGGAGTGAGCATGGAAGGGGACAAGAGACAAGGCAGAATTCTGTCAAGTCTCGTTTATTCAAGGGAATAAGCAAGCTAAATATAGGGCAAGAGAAAGGAGAAAGTTCTTGTGTAAGTGGGTAACAAACTAGGCAACTTACTAGGCAACCTAACCATGGTCTAATGGTCATGTGGAAAGTCCCTAACTGCAACATGCAGAAGTCAAAGCACAGGAATAATGGAGCAGTGACTCCTTGCAGAGTTAGTATTTGACATATCAGAACAGCAGGAGAAGCCAAGCGCAACAGGGTGGGCGAAGCTGATCCAGGGAGCTGTAAGTCTCCCACAAACTTGCATCATTGATAAAGTGAAGAGATGTTTGACTTGGCTACCAGTAATGATTTATGACTGCATTGTCAAAATCCCATTGTGTATGATGTGTTACATTAGAGTAGTGCATGCTGGCCCTACACAGTATAATTTCTGCTCATACCCTAACAGCAAAAATTGTCTGAACTCATAATCCATTAAATACTTCTCATATAATCACAGCATTCCACATCGAACATTATGTATTAGAGCATATGTAACGTCTAAGTGTATTTATTGGCTGAGAGATACTGTCTCCACCTCTCTGTCTAGTACATTGCACTTGCACATAATTTTTGAAGATTTATTACTTATGTCTATTTATTTGTGTGTCTATGCTTATGTTTTCAAGTGCCTGTGGAGGCCAGAAGAGGGTATTAGGTCCCCTGGAGGAGAGTCGCAGGTAGTTGTGAGCTGCCCAGTGTGAGTACTGGGAACTGAACTCAGGTTCAGTGCAAGAGCAGCGAGTGTGCTTAACTGCTGAGCCATCTCTCCAGCCCTTCCTATAGAACTTTGAAAATAATTTTTTAGTTTTCTTGAGGTTCATTAATAACCTTTTTAAAAAAGAAAGATGGCAATGTATTGGGGTGTTTTGTGTCCCCCCCATCTTTATTTCATTTTGGTTTTGAGGGTTTTTTTTTTTTTGTGTGTGTGTGGTTCATGTTGATTTTAAGTTGCTCATGTTCTTCTTGCTGACAGATACAAAGCAGCCAAGTTTACTTATTTATTTACAGAAGCAAAGTCTTACTGCGTAGTCCATGATGGCCTCAAGCTCGCAGGCTGCTTCTTCCTCTTGAGTACTGGGATTATAGGTGTGTGCAACCACACTGGCCAAAGTACCCATCTCTTGGGCTCATGTTGGATGGTATATTTAGATTAGACACCTATAATGTACTTGATTTCTGTTTCTTATTCTGTGATCATTAGGGATTGTGTAACAGAGCTCTGGGAACAACCACCCTTCCAATGAAGCTTCTCCAGGGTGGCTAACTTCTGTGCTTGTGCGGAGGCTGGACTGTTACAGGTTTCGACAATTGGACTATATCTTTGCCTGTCTTCAGTCCCTTAATGGCCATTCCATACCCACCCCCATATTTGACCTAATGTCCTCATTACCAATAGATAAAAAACATTGGAAATGTGTTAACAGACTTCCTCCAACCAAAAGGCTAAGAATATCTGAAAATAAATGAGAGACCTATAGAGAGATTTTCCTTAATCTTTAATATCTATATAATATTTCCACCCTATATTGAAAAGGGATTTAATCTATGACTTTCTTTGTTATCTCGATTTAAAAACTTCAAACTCTAACTACATTGGAATACAGAATTTAGGGTAACCTGCCTAAATCTGTATTCCTGGGCCATGATTACTCATACTTGGCTCCAGAATAAACTGTCTTAGCCCCTTTAAGGTGAGAGTCATGGTTTTCAAGTTCACAGAATAAATGATTTTTCCTTTTTAAATAGCACTGGCATCATGAAAATAAGTATATTATTTACTGTTTTACCAAAGAGCTGTGTTTTTACTAACAAAAACAGAATTTTCAAAACCTGTTTTTGGCAGTGATCACGAGAATTTGGTTACAGTGAACAGGTGTGTATTGCACTTTGAGGGAAGCAGAAACAGTCTGACAGTATTTTGGAACTCCTGCTTTGTGTGAGCCAACCAGGCTCCCAGGCTTTGAAACCCTTGCTTTGCACCTTCTAGAATAAACCCTTCTGACCTGGACTTCTGAATGTCTTCAGCAATGAAGACGTCTGTGTAGATCTTCGGTAGGGCTCTGTATAGAGCAAGTGCCTTCTTCTAAATGTTAAACGGGCAGCTCTAGGAAGAAACTAGAGGGCACTGGAGAGATGGATCCAGAGTGAAGAGTGTGTGCTGTGCAGTTTCCAGCATCCACAGTGGTTCACTTAGAGGCTGCCTGCATCCCCACCTTCATGGCGTCTGACAAGTTTGGCCTCCCTCCCCAGGCACCTACACTCCTGTGCACAAACCCACATATATGGGTACACACATACCCCTTGTTTACCACTCTAGCTGGTGGTGGTACCTGGGAGAATGGAGCCAATAAAGGAAGTGGACTAAAGTTTCATGCAATAACCAACTTTATTCAGAGCCTCAAACAATTTATACACTGAAGGTTAAGAGGAGTAAAGTGTCCAGTCACAAGAGAAAGCTTCATGTGATGGGCAAGCAGCAACTGGCAGAACTTGGTTTTCCATACAGGCATATAAACAGATAACAATAGCCAGTTGTAATGGGTAATCTGAACACTCCTTCCACTACTCCTGGGAAGGGCGTGAAAACATAATCCAAGAGCAGTTCTGTGTTTTCAAAGAAACGGAGATCACAGACTCAGTCTTGTTTTCTTGGAGTTTTCTCACAAGCATTCAGGATTTTCCTCACGTGACTCCATTTTGGACCCTTAATTAAACATACCCCCTCCCATAATTAAACATCCTTAATTAAGAAAAAGGAAATCTAACAGTGAGCATGCACACACGGAGAGACATGAACACACAACAAATACATACATGCTATTAGCCTTCAAGTGGCTCATATACAAGCTTCAGTGCATTTCTGTACCCTATAGTTGAGTAGGGGTCATAATTCCAAAAGTCCCTTTCTTAAAAATTAAAACAAGGGTTTGACTAGTCTATTCAGTTACTAAGAATAAATCGTGGGGTTTTTATTTTGCTTTGTTTTCCTACCAGGCAAGGAGGGATGCCATTTAAATTATTTTAAAAAGTAGAAGGAGGGTTTTATTGGTGGTGGTGGTTTTTGTTATTGTTTTCCATTTGGTATTTTGTTTTGGGTTTAAGCCATAAATAGTTCACTGGTTTGATAGTTAAAGGATATTTTACTTTTTTTCCCCCCTTTTAGGTTGACAATTGCGTTCTTTGCCCTCTCAGGCCTGGACATGTTGGATTCCTTAGATGTGGTGAACAAAGATGATATAATAGAATGGATTTATTCCTTGCAGGTTCTTCCCACAGAAGACAGTGAGTGAGTTTTTAGCATTTTATTTTTAGTATAATTAGCTGTTCTTGGTATGACATGCATGAGATTAGCAAATGATAGAATTTATTTGTATTCTTGGAGTACTTTATATGTCTTTATTTTTCTTGTAATTCAGCACCCCTTTCTGTCCAGATATGACACATAACCGGTGTCGTGGGAATTACAAATCTAGCAGCACGCTATGTTGTATATACCTGCACTAGTGACTCGCTGTCTGTATTGATGTTTGTGTATGACCAGTCCTTTAGCATTCGCTCTGTTTTTATTCTCAGCCATTGTTTATCTATCTTCAGAAAATTTCTCTTGTCAACTGCTGTATTTCTTAACACTTAAAGTTTTTTTTTAATTAAATCTCCAGAATTCATAACTTCACGATTGACATGTTTTGAGAGAGAGAAGTACACAGTGAGTCTTCAGTTTATAGAAAATATAAATTTAGTTCAGATGACCTGTAGTCGTGGCGTGTTACTCGACAGGTAAAAAGTTCTTGCTACCAAGCCCAGTGACCTCAGCTTGATCCCTAGGACTCAACATGATAGAAGGAAAGAACCAGTTTTGCCAAATTGTCTTCTGACCTGAACACATGTTGTGGCATGCGTGTGGCCCTGCACACACCTACATATACACACAAATACAAAAATGTGAAATACCACAGTTGTGGTAATTTGTAACTAACTTAGAAAATTAACTAAAAATGCTTTGTCATAGTAACAAATTAGAAACAAAATAGGTGCTCATCAAACAATGCTGCTATGAACACAGTTGAGCACATGTCCTTGTGGCACGATTGAGCATCCTTTAGATATATACCCAAAAGTGGTATTGCTGGGTCTAGAGGAAGGTAGTTTTTTAATTTTCTGAGAAATCACCATACTGATATCCAAAGGGGCTATACCTGTTTCCACTCCCACCAGCAATGCAGGAGTGTTCCCTTTTCCCCACAACCTCTCCAGCATAAGCTGTCATCAGTGCTTTTGATCTTGGTCATTCTTACAGGTGTAAGATGGAATCTCAGAGTTGTTTTGATTTGCATTTCTCTGACGGCTAAGGATATTGAGCATTTTTTAAAATAACCCCTGAACTCCAATTTGTGCTGCCCATATAGTCCTGTGTGTAGGGCCGTCTATAAAAGAAAGTTTTAGAAAGAACACTGTCCTGTCCCTCTCCCAGAAGTTCACAGGAGTTCACAGCTCCTCAGTTAGGGGTGAGAGCTTATGAGCCCCTCCTCTCTCATGCTAGCGCATTACCTGGCTTGATCTTGTGCTGGTCTTGTTCAGGCAACCAGAGCCACTGTGAGTGAGTTTGTGAGTGCAGAGGTCCATTATGCCCAGGAATCCCTGGGTTCCTATCGTGTGTGTGTGTGTGTGTGTGTGTGTGTTTTAGTACTGTTACATGAACAGCAGGTCAGTCAGAAAATGTCTTGAAAAGTGGAAGGGAAAGCTAGAGGGACTCTAATCTTGACAAGAAATTGAGTGCCAGCTGCTCTCTGTAAGAGTTTCGTGTCTAAGAAACTGTAAGCGAGGCCTTAGGAGTCAAGGAGAGCGCCTAGCTAACAGACGGCAGTGACACTGAGTCGTACAGTGACAGGAAAGTCATCTGCCAACAGTGTGACAGGGCTGGGAGGCAGACGGTCTTAGAGCCTCCAGTAAGTAAGGTGCTGTGTGAAGGCTTTGATTGGACTTGTGATCGCCTGACACAGTAAGATGACAATTAAATGTGTGTCTTAAGGTCCTACAGTGTGGTGACAGTGACTCACAGGCTGGAGCTCGCCCTGCGCCTGTCATCCCACACAGCTGCTATTTTCTTATTCTCTCCAGGCTGTTAAGGGTGCACCATTTGCCTGATTATAAACTTCATACATATGCTTTGTGTCCTTTGTTTTCTCGTGCTCCATCTTGTTATTTAGCTTTACTAATAATTACTTTCAAAATTAGCATAATGTGCCCTTTAGTAGACTCAGCATGCTATCTTAAATATTTTAGACGTCTCTGTCACTTGTAAACTTCAAGTGTGCTACACTGGCTACTTGTGTGCATATGATCTTACTCATGAAGGTCCTGAAGTACATTCTGGAATGGATTGTCACTTAGACATAGGGTACGGTTTAGTTACTCTTTAACGAAGCTTAGATGGCTTACTGGCTTTAATCTTACCAAAAATAAGGCACAGTCACTGAATTTTCTGCCACCATTAGTACTGCCAATAGAGAGAAATGATTGGTGGGAAGTTTTCAATTTAGTAGTTTTTCATTTCTGCAAAGATTTATAAGCTACCACTAACTGTTCCAAAGAATCATAGGCCGAGCAAGGTGATTTCCTGTTTGGAAGGAGCAGAATGTGGATGTTAGGATTTGGCCGTCCACCCATCATAAGAGATTAAAAGTTCATCTTTCTTAAACTTTTTAAAACCATCTTGCGTTTTCATTAGCCGGCAGTTCTGATGCTAATACATTCCTGCCTTTTACATCTGTCATACTGGTTTTCTAACAGCCATTAAGCCCGTAATTATGGATGTGTTTTTCAGTTCTCACCTTGTAACTTATGTATATCTGGAAAATAGAAAACTTGATAGAAAAAAGACAGAAAAACAAAATGATAAGTATACTTTGGGTAGAGACCAAATGTGAACTTAAGTATTGTACATAAGAACACAGATTTAAGACTGAAATATGAATAAGCATTTTCTCTAGGGTGATAGAACAGTTTCCACCTTTAGCTTACTCATGTATCAAGAAGCAGTGAGTCACAGCGGATTCTAGAGCCTGTTGTGTGAGCTGTCACCTCCAGCGTGTCACCTAGCCTCTAGGCTTGCTTTCTGATGAGCCGTCAACATTATCTCACACAGAAATGGAGACAGTGGGCCTTAATATGTAAGAGGACTTGCTGTGCAAACCAGAATTCAACCTCTAGCACCCACACAAAAGCCACCTATGGCTTTGCACCCAGCTGTGGAGGTTAGAGGCTAGCTAGCCTAGCGGAAACAATGAGCCTCTGGGTCAGTGAGACCCTGTCTTAAATAGACGGTGAGGAGCAGTGGAAGAAGACTCCTAGTGTCCTCTTCTGGTTTCTGCGTGTGCACACAGCCATGGACACCCTCACCTGCGTGCACCATATGTTCATACAGAGAAAGTGGAGCTTTGGTACTGAAATACTGTTACTGAATAATTGATTGTGTGGTTAAACTGCTTTTTACTCTATACAGAAACAGTTTTAAATAAGCACATACTTTGTTTTCTAGGATCAAATCTAAATCGCTGTGGTTTCCGAGGCTCTTCATACCTGGGTATTCCATTCAACCCATCAAAGGTTAGTTCTCTATGGGTTGGAATGGGAGGGGAGGAGGGGAAGGGACATAAAGAGAGTTTAGTGAGAAAGCAGATGAAGACGTTTAGAAAGAACAAGCTTCTAGGCTCAATATGTTAAATATAAACAAAAATGTCTTTAAGTGAAGCCTCTAGCCCCCTTTGTAGAGGTGTGGTTTTTTCTGATACAAATATATGCAGAAATTTATGTTATTACCGAAAATTATCTTTTGATGCGTGTGTAGAACATATTAGTGAATTCCTGGAGAAACTGGAACTGCGGTGCTCAGGTGTTTTCTGTGAAGCCAGTGACCTTCCCTGTGTTGCAGGACTTAAAGCTGGGCTGTTCTTTCTCAGGAGAGTGAGAGCTGTTCTCCAGGAAGTGACCAGGGACCCAGCTAATGACTTTTATAGCAGGAAGCTAAGCTTCCCAAGCATTTTGGGCAGAGGCTTTTGAACCAGCCCATGTCAGTTACAAAGAAGGGCTAATGAAGCGGAGAAGAACTTCTTCAAAGTAGCAATAGGCCCAAAGCAAGGACTGGGCGTTTTACTTGTGCCCAAAATTACCAAGGTTTTTTTTTTTTTTTTTTTTTTTAATGTGAAAAGTGGAGAAATTTTTTTCCCTTCCCTTTCTTTTGCCATGATGTATGGTATAGAACTCAGGACCTCAAGTATATCAGGCTCTACCAACTGATCCATATCCCTACTCCTTTTCACCTTTTTCCAAAAGCAGGTCTCACAAGCTAGGTACCTGGAAGCTCATACCTGTGATTCCCCAGCACCTGAGAACCTGAGACAGGAGGCCATATAATGAGTTTGAGGCTAACCTGGATTCTATACTCAGTTCTATGCCAGCCTGGGCTGCAAAGTAAAAAACATGCCTAAGAAATGAAGAACAAACAAAAGGAGGCTTTTCCTCGATGGGTTCATCTGCTTATAGGAGGGTTGTCAGTCAGTATGGGATTACTTTTGAGAATTTCAGGGATCATGTACAGTTGCATGTGGGATGAAAAACTCCCAGCTATTCATATGTTGATTCAAGATTTTGGAATAAGTAGCAGTGATTGTAGCGATGACAATCACTACTAATTGAGACTGCTTCAGCTTATTCCTCTCACTTATACTGTAGACAAGCTTCTCTGAATTAGGGTCAGGTAACATCAGCAAGATCTCTCCAATTGAGTGCCTTGGTAGCAGGGGTATGATAACAAAAGATTTATAAAATATATTTTTTCTTTTTATACATATATTTTCCAATTTAAGCCAACCTTGAATAAAGGAAGGCTCTCTAGTTAGTCATAATGAAAAGAATTATCATCTTCATGTAGGCAGTGATATTTATTGTGTAGTACAAGTCCATGAGCAGATAGATGTAAGCTCTACTCATTGGTGTAACAGTGATTTAATTACATCTTTACAAGATAAATCTCTACCTCCAGGGCATTTCTTATCATATTTTTAAAATTTATTTTGAGATGGAATCTTGCAGTTTTGCCCAAGTTGACCCTAAAATCCTGGGCTTAAGCCTCCCAAGTAGCTGGCCCTGTGGGTGTGCACCATTGCACCTGACCTCTGCACGGTCTAGAAATAATCTCCCCTAATGAAATGCTTGTTGTTGGCTCACAAGTTCTTGTGAAACCTAGTTTTGGCCCTCAGTGTACCTGGCCTGTCCCCTCCGAGGGGCCAGGTCTCACTGTGGATGGCTTTTCTCTGAATCTCCGTGGTAGCAGGAGTTAGAGACTCAGATGTAATCACATAGGCGTACGAAAGCTGTCATAGTGCATGGAAGCGTAGGGTCTATGAGACACACAGACCTGAGGAAACATATATAAATCAAACAGCTTTATCACTTTTTTTTCTTTCAGAAACTGTTGAATTACCTGTGCACCTTTGACATCCTAATATATGTAGAATTTGACAGGCCATAGACTCTCATGGATCCCCCAACTTACCCTTTCCACTTATTTTGCATCATAAATCCTATACTCTGTTAAATTATATATTGCCTTAATGTCCCAGGGTTTTCCTTTTCTGCTTCATTTTTATTTTCTTGTCCCTGTCTGTACCATCCCAGGCCTCTGCTGTGCGGGAAGGAGGCCCTGTTTAAATCTCTGTAGCACCGTATCTCCTTCCTGACCACTCGGCTGAGCGACTCTGATTGTCGTTGTGTGCTCAGATAGCTCTTCATCTCTTAAAGGTCAAGGTTTACCTTTAATTCATGTTTGGGTTCCCTACTATTCTTTTAAAATAGCAGGTGTTTGGTTTAAATACTGAAAAATGAGATCTGCTGTGGGTATTCAGAGAAGCCCATTATAAATGTGAGTGAAATAGAATCGTTAGAGAATTGGAGCTTGAGCTCTGAGGAGGCCTTCAAAGGTGTTACAAGAAAAGCTGGTTTGGTGTTAGTGAGACTGCATGAAGGAGTTGTATGTGAGGCAGCTCCGTGGGAGGCTTCAGAGTTAAAAGGTATTGAGTGTCATTTGATCTGTGAAGCAGCACAGGTCATTGTGCAAGAAAATTGTGGGATCAAGTTGCTAACCCTTTCATTACACATAGAAACCTTTGGCCAGATTCCTTAAACTTAAATGTGGTTTATTTCTGGGATTGTGTGACCTTGTTTCATATTATACAGTCGAAGTCTTTACATTTCCTTATATTTTACATTCTGAATACAAATGTTTATTTGAGGTTGAAATAATTAAACTTGATAACAATAGACAGATAAGGTTATATGGTGAATATTACTGTGGTATTTAATTTAGGTTTGTACTATATAACTTTTGTATTTTTCTTTTCTTTTCTTTTTTTTTTTTTTTGAAAGTTCTGGGATTAAACCCACAGCCTCAATACACACTTCATCACAGAGTGGTATTCCCAGGCCAAATTTTACTTCTTCTCATACATATTTTGGTTTAAAATATTGAATGAGTTTCTAACCTTATAAGACATAATTTTTATAAATGGTAGTCTTGAACTAAGAAAGTTTCAAATATGTGGTTTATTCAAATGTCCTAACTGCTTTCATAAAGTTGGATAATCATAAGATGTTGAAAATTATGTAGCATGTAAGAAGACATATTAAGATGTGTAAAAACTGAGGCTTTATTCCTTAGATAGATATCTGTACACGTTGGTGTTAAGAAGTAACACCATGCCAAACCTCATTTGTGAAATAAAATTTAAAATTTCTGTTAACATATTAATATATTAATTAACACTAATTTTGAATTTAGAGCCCTGGAACAGCTCATCCTTATGACAGTGGACATATAGCAATGACCTACACTGGCCTTTCATGTCTAATTATTCTTGGAGATGACTTAAGCCGAGTAGATAAAGAAGCTTGTTTAGCAGGCTTGAGAGCACTTCAGCTTGAAGATGGGAGGTATGAACTAGATTTAATTCTGTAGTAGACTTTTAGAGGTAATATTCCCCTTTTTCGTTTTTTTTTTTTTTTTTTTTTTTTCGAGGCAGGGTTTCTCTGTAGCTTTGGAGCCTGTCCTGGAACTTGTTTTTTTAAAAATAAATGTTTATTTATTTATTATGTGTACAATATTCTTTTTGTGTGTACGCCTGCAGGCCAGAAGAGGGCACCAGCCCCCATTACAGATGGTTGTGAGCCACCATGTGGTTGCTGGGAATTGAACTCAGGACCTTTGGAAGAGCAGGCAGTGCTATTAACCTCTGAGCCAGTTCTCCAGCCCCTGGAACTAGCTCTTGTAGAGCAGGCTGGCCTAGAACTCACAGAGATTCACCTGTCTCTGCCTCTGCCTCTGCCTCTGCTGGGATTAAAGGCATATACCACTGCTCAGTTTAGAGGATAATGTTCTCTTAATAGCACCATCCAGGACTAGAAATATAGCTCAAGGGTTACTGCATAGTTAGTGTGTGGAGGCCCTGGATCAGACCTCCAGTCACAATGGAAAAGAGCCATGTAACATTTGTATATAGAGTTAAGTGCTTAATGGAAAAAGTTTCTCATTTTATATGAACAAAAACAAAGCTTACTTTCTAGTAGAACTCTTTTCTTTTTTTAATTTACCTTCTGGATGAGACAAATATTTTGAAATAAGCTATTTAGTTGAGTATCCTTGAAAGTAGTGATGGTAGAGAAATGAGTGCACTTTAAATATTATGTTCAAAGTGAGGTGGCTTGATCTCCAGCTTACTGAGGGACATATTCAAGCGATAGAGAAGTTAACACTCAGAGATACTGGAAGGTTTAAGTCACAAACTGGTGTACATTGTTAATGTAATGAAGCAGTAGCCTTCATCTTCTATCAAAAGACTTTGCGATCAGTCTGCTGCTGTGTTATGTCTCTGCCCTGTACACTGTGATTCTTACTTTCTTGTCTCTGTTGTCAGAACAATGCTCTTGATGAAGAAAAAGTTACTGTAGACATAGTAAATGGACATTTGGAATCCAGTGTTGTCCCGGATTACTTCCATAAAGAGGAAAGGAACACAGAATATTACCTCGTTGAAACTAAGTGTATAATGAATCACAAGATAATAGATCAATTACTAGTTATCTCTATGTACATTTAGGAGAAATTTCACATAATAAAACAGGGGTCTAGTAGTTTCTTACTACAAAATAATATGTGTGAGGTTTTACCTGCTACTTTTTCTGCAGCTCTTATTGAGAGTAAACAGCATAGTCTGAATAGTGGTATCTGGCAGTGACATTATGGTGAACATAAATGATTTAGGGTCATTTTATACCTAAATATGTAGAATTTGATGGGAGTAAAGTCAGCAAGAGGGGTTTCTGTGAGTAAGGACACAGGGCATCTGTTCCTGCTTGAGGTAAATGGTCTTGATGCAGTTTCATGTCCTTGTTTGCAGTTTTTGTGCTGTCCCTGAAGGCAGTGAGAATGACATGAGGTTTGTGTACTGAGCTTCCTGTATCTGCTACATGCTCAACAACTGGTCAGGCATGGATATGAAGAAAGCGATCAGCTACATTAGAAGGAGTATGGTGAGTTATATTCATACAACTGGACTGGTTCAGGTTATTGCTGGTATAATGTATGCATTTCTTTATCAAGAATTAAAAATAACAGTCGTAAGATTAGTTTTTTGGTGGATTGTTTCTCAGAACACCATATGGAAATAATCTCAACATGCATATTGAATTCTTGACCATTAAAATTTGTGCTTACAAGCCGGGCGGTGGTGGCGCACGCCTTTAATCCCAGCACTCGGGAGGCAGAGGCAGGCAGATCTCTGTGAGTTCGAGGCCAGCCTGGTCTACAAGAGCTAGTTCCAGGACAGGAACCAAAAAGCTACGAAGAAACCCTGTCTCGAAAAAAATAAAAAAAAAAATTGTCCTTACATGTGTTTTCTAATCTAATTTTAAAGACAATAGCTGGAAATGCTCCTCTCACATAATGTAATTTATTCTAGCAGTGGTAAGGAGAGCTTAGCTGCAGCCAGTATCGCTCTTTGCTCCAGAGGCAGCAGAGTTGCTCTCCAGGCTTATCACTTCCCAGCCATGAGCCTTGCAATTTACAGATGAGAGAGATTTCTTAAGCCTATTAAGGCTAATTAATTCAACCTCTAGCTGATCTGTTACAATCCCACAATGGAATGTCTGAGCTCTTAGAGGAGTGGAATTGATTTAAGTATACGTCATGCAACCATGCAGTTCTTGAAGGAGCCCTGGTTCTTATTGAAGGACATTATTGAGAAACAAGGATATGGGTTCTTATTAGCATTAGATAGCATTGCTTCTAGGCCTTTCTCATCAAGCACAGGTAGGAAAGTTGTATATGCATAGATACATAGACACTTTTACATACACATGCAAATATAGTTATACTAAGAACTATGAGTTTGTACAGATAAGCCCAACTTTCAGTTTACTATACAGGATCTATTTATTTTTCCTCTTTGATAAGTTATTTATTCCATCTACAGTTAGATATATTCATTTCTGTTTGAATTCCTCTAGTAGGTATTCATTAGACTCCAAAAAGTTGTTAATCTTTATTTATTTGCATATGGTATTATTTACTTAATATGTGTAGCTTAACCTGTTTCTGAATGTCAGAACTACTAAAGACAAAATGGAGAGAAGTGTAACTTCTTATCCTCCTTTATCTACCACTCTTTCTTAACCCCCATGTCTACCATCTTGCTCCTGTTAACTCTATAGATAACATTCTTATTATTTTCTCACTTATCTTTCCTGTATTTCTGTTTGATAAGAAGATCCATATGCCTTTTATTTTTCCTTATTAAAACGATAACCCACTTCTGGTACCCTAATCCATATTAGACAAGTATATCAGATGACAGTATATTACATAGGCTGGGTTCTGGCTGTCCAACACTGGCTGTCTCTTGATGGGGAGGCCATGAATCTGGTAGTTGTTCAGTGCCTTAAGGCTTTGGAATCCCAGAGAAGTAGATTTTAATAACAGCGAAGTAATGCCTTAACAACAGGATAAACTTGCCAGTGAGAGTGAGGGCAAGCAGGCAGAAAGCAAAAGCGTCTTTCTTTCGTGTCTTTTTATGTGGGCTGGCACCAGAGGTGTGGACCAGATTTAGGGTTGGTCTTCTGACCCCAAATGATTTAGGATGGGTCTTCTCACCTCGAATAATCCAATCAAGAAAAACCCCTCACAGGCGTGCTGAGTTGTGTGAGTTTTATTTATTTGTTGATTAGTCAAATTGATAACCAAGATTAGCCATCACAAGTCCATCCCTTCTCAATTTAATACATACTCATATCTATTTATGAAAACCATAACCAGATCATAATTATGTCTAACATGATATAACTATTCCACTAGATGGAAACACATCATTTGTTTGACTAGGTCATAACTTGAATGAAATACCTGGGAAATCAGAGTTTTCCTCATTCTTTTTCTTACAGTTTTACATTACTTAAATGTGTGAATATAGCAGTCTCTTCCAAAATTCTTTATCTACAACCATTCTGTGTAGAGAGTATCTATTTTTCCACTTACAAATAGTGCTGTCATTGATAACCTTCTGCATATCTTTTATATATCACAGATATGCCTTTATGTAAATTGTTGGTCAAAAATTAAGTGCATATGCAATTTCAGGAGCTATATTGTTTTCTATCCCCCAAGAGATGGACCAGATGGGTCAGCCTGTTGAGTAGTACTGTGGTTACTGCACAGCTTGCTGCCCTTAAAATGTACTCAGTAAGCCTGTTTTTTTCTTTAGGAAAAAAGAAACAAACTTAAAAAGATAGCTGGGTGGTGGTGGTGCATGCCTTTAACCCCAACACTTGGGAGACAGAGGCAAGCAGATCTCAGTGAGTTCAAGGCTAGCCTGGTATACACATCTAGTTCTACGACAGCCAGGACTGTTACACAGAGAAACTCTGTGGGGGATGAGCCAAATTGTATTCTAACCCCCATAGGAGAGTGGCTTTTTCCACATAGCCTTGCCAGTAAAATGTTATACTTCTTTAAAAATCCATCCTGTCCCCTCTCCTCTTCTCCTCTCCCCTTCCCTCTCCTCCCCTCCGCTTCTTTTCTTTGTCTTTATCTTGTCATATTCTACCTACCCACATCCAGCGTTAGAAACTAGATCTTTGTGCACCAGTGAACTGTGTCACCAGCCCTGTTCTGCTTTTTGGCGTTCTCTGTTTTAATTTTATTTGTGTTCTTTGCTTGTCTTTCATTACAACCACTTTCTCTCTGACATTTTTACTTCTTTTGATGGTGATCAAAGTAGTGTAAGATCAAGCCCAGGGCCAGATACATGCTAAGCAAATACTCTATCTACCACTGAAGCTCCATCTCTCTTCTCCACTGTTACCTCCATATATCAGTTTTATATATTCTTAATTGTTTTCTGCCTTTATTTGATTTAGATTTATTTGTAATCTTATGTGTGTCAGGGTGGGGAGCAGGTTATGAGCATAGAAGCACAACGTAGAAGTCAAAGGAGTTGGATCCCCCTGGAGCTGGATTTACAGAAGGTTGAGCCTCCTCAGCGTGGGTGCTAGGGACTGAACTTGGGTCTTGTCTCCAAGAGCAGTCTATGCTCTTAACCACTGAGCCATCTTTCCAGCCTCTCTGTTTCCCTCTTTATGTTTTCATTTTAAAAATTGCTTTTTAGGAGTCGTATGATTTAGCCCCTTTTTTTGTTTTGTTTTGTTGAGGGTTGTGTTTGTATGTCTTTTTGAGACAGAGTACTCTATAACCCTGACTGTCCTAGAACTTACTGTTTATCCCAGGCTAACTTCAAACTCAAAGAGTTCTGCCTGCCTCTCCCACCTCAGTTCTGAGGTTAAAGGGCTGCACCCACCACAACTGGCTAATCTCTAGACACCTGGCTAATCTCTGTGTTACTTTTCTTTTTCTTCAAACCATTTAACACATTATTTTTTCCAACTCTTAGTCCATTTCTTGTGTGTGTGATGTATGTACTTATTAGTTTTGTTGTGTGTATGTGTGGAGGCTGAGGTAGATATTGGATGTTCTTCCTTGGTAGCTCTCTACCTTCATCTTTTGATATAGTCTGTCACTAAACCTGAAGTTCATTGGTTAGGCTGGGCACTAGCCAGAGGATCCCCTGTCTTGGCATTACCTACTCCAGTGTTGGGGTTACAGGCATCTGCCACTAAGCCTGGCTTTTATGTAGGTTCAGGATCTGGCACACAGGTATTTTGCAGACTGAACCATTTCCTCAGCTCTCTGTTTTTAATGTTGAAAATCATTTTCCTATTCCTACTGTTTGTTTGAGGGTGTGCAGTTGAGTTTTGGGTGCTGGGTTAAATTTTCTAATTTCCCTCTGTCTTTGTGGCTGTTTCTTGTCGGTGCAGGCTGGTTTTCATATACTGAGAAGTAGTGTTTTCATTCCATTTATTCTGTTTTCATGTAACAGTAATTAGATAGATTTAGTGTAATAGAATTTTTTTCTCTTAAAAGTATATAGAACTCAGTGTTGCCCATTTTTCTTTTTTTTTAATATTTATTTTATGTGTGTGTGTGTGTGTGTGTGTGTGTGTGTGTGTGTGTGTATACCATGTGTGCAGGAACCCACAGAGGTCAGAAGAACCAGCAGATCCCCCAGAACTGGAGTTACAGATGGTTGTGAACCACTACATGGGTGCTAGGAACCGAACCTAGGTCTTCTCCAAGAGCAGTGAGTGCTGTGAATCACAGAGCTCTCTCTCCAGCCCCAGACTGTGCCTTTTCTCCTTGCAACAAAGCATGATTTCTTTGAGTGATTTGATGGTGGGGAAATGTGGTTCGTTCTGTGATTCTCCTGGCAGAAAGGAAATCTTCCCTTTGTTTCCCAGGCCTCTAAATTCTTGAGTTATTCTTTATTACCTGATGCTGAAATGAGCCATTTGAGCACCACCAACTTGACTTGCACACTCTTTCTGACTGCTCGTATAGCCATCTTTATCCTGGCACTGACACCCACAGAGATAATAAAGAGCCTTGCTAACTGAAGGGAGGCAGGAACTTCTTATTAACAAAGTTTGAAGAAGATGGCATAATTGATTGTGATCATGATGCACAATATCTATAAATGACTGAAGTTGAGTAGGCATGAAGTCCTTGTGTTTTTATTCGCTGTTGGCTCACATGGAAGAGTGTGAGGGTTAGGATCAGGAATTGTTATTGACAGAAGCCGAATGTGCATTGGGGCCCTGCACACTTCTCAGGTGTGCCTCTGTGAAAGCACTTGAGGGTTCGGCCTGCTAAGCAAGAGAAGAATGGAGACTGCAAAATGCCCACTTATTTTAGAAGATATAAGAGAGACCAAAATAGTTAGCTTATTGGGAACTTAGTATCTACTATTATCATGATTATTTCTCCACTAAACTACATGGTGGTTTTCTTTTTCAGTCTTATGACAATGGGCTGGCACAGGGAGCGGGACTTGAATCTCATGGTAAGACTTCTTTTGTTTTTTTGTTGTTTTTTTTTTTTTTTGTTTGTTTGTTTGGTTTTTTTTTTTTTTTTTTTTTTTTNTTTCTCTGTAACTTGTCCTGGAACTAACTCTTGTAGACCAGGCTGGCTTCGAACTCACAGAGATCCACCTGTCTCTGCCTCCCGGGTACTGGGATTAAAGGCATGCACCACTATTTCCCAGCTCATAGTAAGACCTTTTAAATGGTTGTGTAGTTTTCAAATAACTTCAGTGGTATCTTCAGCACAATGTCTCAGACTGTCTGAACCCTTGCTGTAGAATATCTGCCTCTGTCAGCTTCCTACATCTGCCTTTGACACTGTGGTACTTACCTGTTCAGCGCCTCTTAGATCTCTAATCTTAGGAGAGTATTCAAGACAGAGAGATTTCTAATAAACTATTAAATGTTAGCTGCATGAGTAGATCTTGGTATTGCTTCTTAGGCTATTATTAGAAAACAGCAGGTTATTTTCTTTGGCATAACAACTGATTGGTAAACCAAAGAGATATATTGAACATTAAAATTTTTATTTACCTTCCATAATATAATTATCCTTAGTGATTATCACAAGACATTTTTCTGTTGAACGAGTCTGCTTTCTTACATTTTCCCTCACTTTGGGCAGTGCTGGAATAGTGAGATGGTAGCCATTAAGTTTGTTAGCACATCAAAAAATATGTACCCTCTCAAATCAAAATCTATTCAGAAGTAACCAAGTTTCCATTCCTCTGTTTGAAGAACTCCAGATGAACTTGAGGTTTCTCATCACTGGGTGTGCCGTGCTGTGCTGTGCTCACTTGCTGCCTCCATCCCTCTGCTAGCATGGTTGGAGCAGGGGTCTGTATGACCATCTGTATGACCGTGCCTTCTAGATCTCCCTAAGGGTTTCCCCCTTCGGTAACACAGAAGTTTTGTTCTTCTGTATAGAAATTACCTTGACTTTTCCTCTGACCCCCATTACAATATGACACCATGGTTCCGATATGTGCCCAAGTTATACAGATAGGTGTAGGGTAGCTGGTGATAGAGATACCAGGAAGACTCCCTTCCCATGGTGCATTAGAGCCAGTTCTGTGACACCGATTTGCAAAAAGAAAGCTCTGTTTCACAACTAGTCAGCAAGGAGGTCAGGACCTGTGACCTCTGCCTTCCCAGTCAGTGAGTACTGGACATTACAGGCAGGGGGCAGGCAGAGACTGTTCATTGATGGATGATGGGAAGGGAAAGTTTCCCCAAACCTTGTTTTAGACATGCACGTCAACATACCCCTTTATAGGTCAAATGCTCCTTTGAAGTAGAGGGTGTTCTCTGCGGAGTGTTTGGATTTGTAAGTTAGCATCAAAGACCAGTGACTGATAGCTGGCTTCTACACATTTCCATTCTTGAAAAGTGACTTTGAAACTATCTGTGCTGAATTTCAGAGACTTACATTGTGAAACAAGAAACAATTATTTGAGAAATTTCCATCCATGTGGTTGTATGAAAGGAGAATTCGACAGGGATAGGCTCTGGTGCTTGCTGCTGTAGCACTCTGAGTAGACACTTGACTGGCACAAAGAAATTGCAGTTATATTGCGTGGTATCCAAACATGACACTTAATATTTGTGTGTGTGCCTATATGGTATGTATGTGTACTTATGTGTAAGTATGGGCACATACGCATGCCACATATGTGGAGATCTGAAGACAGCCTCAGGTTAGGGTCCTTGTTCCACCTTATTTGAAACAAGGCCTCTTGTTCGCCATCGTGTATACCAGATAAACTAACCTTGATAGCTTGTTGGCCTTACAGACTGTGCTGTTGTGTCCAGCCTTGTGCTGATCCCAGGGATCTGAACTCAGGTCCTCCATTTATACTGCATATGCTTTATGCATTAGGCCATCTTCACAGTTCTGTTTCATTTTCTTGAGACCGGATCTTCTTGCTGTTAAGCCCAGGCAGACCTCAGTCATGCATTATTCCTGCTTCAACCACTGTAGTGCTGAGATTACAGACATCACAACCACACTGAGCCTGCTAACAAGTCACAGTGAGGAGGAGATTCAGTCAGGATCAGTCGGTAAAGTACCTGCCATATCAGCGTGGCGACAGGCGACCTGAGTTCAGATCTCCCAGTATAAGCTGGGCGTGGTGTCATGCTCCTGTAACCCTGACGCTGGAGGTACACTGACAGATCCCTGAAGCTCCTAGCTTCGTGATAGAACTTGTCTCCTGAGACATTTGTGTTTTGGTTATTATCAGGAGGATCAACCTTTTGTGGCATTGCATCACTGTGCCTGATGGGTAAACTGGAAGAAGTTTTTTCAGAAAAAGAACTAAACAGGATAAAGAGGTGGTGTATAATGAGGCAGCAGAATGGATACCACGGAAGACCTAATAAGCCCGTTGACACCTGTTACTCCTTCTGGGTGGGAGCAACTTTAAAGGTAAGAGAAGCCATGGGAGTGAGGCACCCAAGCCCTTGATATTTATACCCGCTTAAAACTTGTGCGGGACTGTTACATACCCATAAGGCCAGACACCTTCTTAATAAAACCACCTAGGGCATGTAGAACAGGGATTGATCTGGAAGTCATGTCCAGAAGCAGGAAGTTAATTTAAAAAGACAATTGTAGAACATTCACTGGAAATCCATTTAAAATTTTTCTTTCTTTTTTATTGTTTGTTTTACCTAAAATCTCCAAAATTCAATGATTGGATTTGCTACATAAAGTCACTAAACTGTTACCCCCTTGTTTGCATCTTGAAATGCCTTCACCCTTAAGAACCACCCTTGTGCAGCTGTTCTGACTATAACAGGAGTTTGTGTTCATCTTGCTTGTAATGTCCTGTTTTTCCCCTCTTAAAAGTTGTGTGTGTGGTTGAAAGGAATGAAAGAGACTGGTTTAAAATGAAGGCAATCACCTATGTGTTTACTTCTTATGCTGTTTTAAAAATGTGTTTGTACGTTTATTAGTCACGAAAATTTCAGACATACTTTAAGTAGAGGGATAGTGTAATGAACTCCCATGCATACATCAGTAGTGGTCATCCCAAAGCAGCTGCCCTTCACCCACTTCAATCTACTCCTCCCAGCACTGTGTTGACTTCAAGACAGTCATTTGTTTTGTTTTTGGAAATTCTTTAATTTCTTTTCTAAATGAAATAAGAGAACAACACCCTAGTATCACAATCCCACATCTAAAAATGAACCATAATTGCTTTCCATAGTAAGTATCACTTAGTGATGGTGGTGTTTCCTGTTGCATCACCCAGAAGCTCCCAATACCCAAACTCTCCTTTTGGTCAGAGGGCTCTGAGTTGTCAAGTTGGTTGCTCTGTTACAAAGTTCTGTGAACTTTTCTTTCTTTGTGGCAAACTATACGTAGTATGTTTAGCATTTTAACCATTTGTATATAATGCAGTGGTAATAATAATACCCATAATAATATATTAGACCACTACCATTGTATCCATGGCCTCCTGTCCTGCCAGGAGTCTCACTGTCGTCTCCCCCAGCCTCCTGCAGTCACTGTTCTGTGCGCTGACTTCATATGGCATTTCTGGGTGTCTTATCTCATTGTTATAATAACTGACAACAGCAGCTTAAGGATGGAAAGGTTTGATTCGGCTTAGAGTTCTGGGGGGTTAGGGAGGGTCTGTCTGGCCTTAGGAACAGGGAGTAGCTGATAACGTTTGTCCTCAGTTGGGAAAACAGAGCAGTGTATGCTGATGCTGGTTAGCTTTCTCCTGTTTATGCAGTCCAAGATCTTAGCCTGGGCAAATAGCATGCCCACATTTGAGGGGGCTTCCCCAACTTAGTTAACCTAATCTTGAAAGTGCCTCACAGACACAGACACGCCCAGAGATTTGCCACAAGTTGACATTGTAAGCCATTACACTCATCTAAGTACAATCATGCGATATTTGTTCTTCTGTTTCTTCCTTATTTCCCTTAGTGTAATGTTAGAACCCATCCATATATACATATACATATATATATATATATATACATATATTTTTTTTTTCTTTTTATGTCTGAGTAATGTTCCTCTCCCTCTCCTTTCTTCCTTCCCTCCCCCCACTCACTCTGTGTGTGTGTGTGTGTGTGTGTGTGTGTGTGTGTGTGTGTGTGTGAGATTTTAGTAGGTATTTACTGTATCTGTAGGTATGCCTGGGTAAAAGTCGTATCTTGACAATATTAAGCCTTCTTGCTAATGAGCTAGGTAAGAAAATAAGAAGATACTGTAGTTGGCTAATTTAAGTGCTCAAGTCCCCAGAGATTTGCTCTGAGAATCTAAGCTAGAGAAAAGCCTATCCGAATAATCAGTAGCTGAAATGTGATCAATAAGAAGTTTTTTGCCTGTTAATTTTTGTCATTTTGTTTTTAGCTTCTGAAAATTTTCCAGTATACTAACTTTGAAAAGAACAGGAATTACATCTTATCAACTCAGGATCGCCTGGTGGGAGGATTTGCCAAATGGCCAGACAGTCACCCAGGTAATTGCATTTGGCATGAATGTAAAGCAGTACGTGTTTTACTTTTGAATAGACATGGAAGTGTATGTTTTTCAGAAATTGTATATGACAGAAAATATCGCCACAGTTGTAACATTACAGTAAATAGTACATTTTGTAAAAGATTATGTCTGAGGCTGGTGAAATGGTTCAGTGGATAAATACACCTGCTGCCCGACCTGGTGACCTGGGTTGAATCCCCAGAGCCAACATGGTAGACAGGGAGAACCAACCCATGCACTCTTTTGACCTCTGCATGTGTACCTATAAACCTATTATGTCCACACACAAAATAAAAACTAAAGATATTTAAGACAGACTTAAGGTATGGGTAGTATAAAGGAAGGGCAAATTGTCAAGGTAATAGTATAATATGCATCCCCCAACACTCCTAATACTTACAAATGTTTTATTTCATGTGTGAAACTAAGGGGCCCTACCTGAAGCAAGGAGTTACTTGGCTCATCTAAAAAAATCAGGGTTATTAGCTGTGACATCAGGGTTATTAGCTGTACTTGGGCTGATGGTGTTCTAATATGCTTATCTTTTGCTGTAATAAAACTTTGATCAAAAGCAGCTTGAATCTGTAGATTGCTGTTGGTAAGATTGCATTATATTGATCCTACCTATTCAAGAACATGGGAGGTCTTTCCAATTTTTTTTTTTTTTGGTTTTTCGAGACAGGGTTTCTCTGTGGTTTTGGAGCCCCCTCCCGAGTGCTGGGATTAAAGGTGTGCGCCACCACCGCCCGGCTCCATTTTCTGATATCTTCTTGTCATACAGGTCTTTCACTTCTTTGGTTAATGATATTTTATGTTATTTGTGGCTATTATAAAGGGTGATGTTGTTCTGATTTCTTTCTTGGCCCTTTTATCATTTGCAGGAGGGCTGTTGATTTTTTTTTTTTGAGTTGATATTGTATCCTGCCACATTATTTAAGGTGTTCATCGGCTGTAGGTATTCCCTGGTAGAATTTTGGGGGTCACTTATATATACTATCATATCATCTGCAAACAGTGAAAGTTTGACTTCTTTCTTTCCAATTTGTATCCCCTTGATCTCCTTTTGTTGTCTTATTGATCTAGCTAAAACTTCAAGTACTATATTGAATAAATATGAAGAGAGTAGACAGCCTTGTCTTATTCTTGATTTTAGTGGAATCACTTTGAATTTCTCTTCATTTAATTTGATGTTGGCTGTTGGCTTGCTGTGTATTGCTTTTATTATGTTTAGATATGTGCTGTGGGACAATGGTCTGTACCCTGTCACTTGTGTTTTAAATAAACACTGATTGGCCAGTAGCCAGGCAGGAAGTATAGGCAGAGCGACCAGACAGAAAGTAGAGACAGGGCAACAAAAATTCTGGGAAGAGGGAAGTTTCAGTCTGCAGTCGTCACCCATTCACAGAGGAAGCCAGGCACAGAGCAAGCAAGAAGTGATTGCCTTGCCAAAAAAGGTACCAAGCCACGTGGCTAACACAGACAAGAATTATGGGCTAATATAAGTTATAATTAGTTAATAAGAATCCTGAGCTAATAGGCTAATCAGTTTATAATTAATGTAGACCTCTGTGTATTTCTTTGGGACTAAATAACTGCAGGACCAGGTAGGACAGAAAACCTCAGTCAACAGACATGTTCTTTGTATCCTTGATCTCCCAAGACTTGTATCATGAAGTGGTGTTGGGTTTTTGTCAAATGCTTTTTCAGTATCTAATGAGATGATCATATGTTTTTTTTCTTTCAATTTATTTATATGGTGGATTATATTGACAATTTCATATTTTGAACCACCCTGCATCTCTGAGATAAAGTTAACTTGATCATGTAAATGATTTTTTTTTCATTTGTTCTTGGATTTGGTTTGCCAGTATTCTGAGTATTTTTGCATCAACGTTCATGAGGGAAATTGGTCTGTAATTCTCTTTCCACTCCAGTCTTTGTGTGGTTTGGGTATCAGGGTAACTGTAGCCTCATAAAATGAGTTTGGCAATGTTCCTTCTGTTTCTATTGTGTTGAACAATTTGAGAAATATAGGTATTAGCTCTTTGAAGTTCTGGTAGAATTCTGCACTGAAACCATCAGGCCTTGGGCTTTTTTTGTTTGGGAGACTTTTGATGGCTGCTTCTATTTCTGTAGGGGTCTATTTAAATTGTTCATCTGGTCTTGATGGCCTGGAATTCACTGAGGAAGGATATCCTCCAACACACCTACCTCTGCCTCCCAAGAGCTAGGATGAAAGGCCACTACTCTGGGTTTATTTAATTTCCTTAGATAAGTACCTTAATTTCTGACTTCTCATGCTTCTTACCTAACGTGAGGGAACCAGGTAACTACGGACCATATGACTGGCACTCAGAAACTAGCACCCTCTGTGGCGTCCTTCTCCAGCCTTTACTCTCCCCACTTATTTACTCCAGCAAAACGAACCTGTTTGAAGCTTGACTATAAAGCCCTTGCTGAAGTAATTGAGAGCACTGGCGTGTTTGATTTGCATGTTATTGGAAGATTAGCTGTAGACATATACACCTATCTCTAAGGCACAGCCATTGAAGTGCTTTAGAATCATGATCTTGGTTACCATAGTATTAGCAAGTGTTTTTCTGTTCATCTCTGTAGGGTTTCTGTGCTTGAGTCAAAATGTAAAGAAGAGGCTCATGAAATCGTATGTTTGTGCTTAAAGTAAAAGGAATAATTATGCCTGCCTTTTTAAAATGTAAAACATGCTTTCTTAGAGAAAATATGGGATGCTTCAAAGGCATACCCCAACATACATTTTCACAAATCAATTTCCAAAGCAAAATAATTAGTTTTGAGATTTTTGGTGTGTGTGTAGCTTTAAATATGTTTGATGTCTTAAGAAATCTAGTGATTATTTTGGTCCTGATGATTTTTTTGTCCTATCAGTCTGGCATTGTTTTAGCAAATAACGGAAATAAATGCAATCTTTTGGGAAGCATCTCATATTTGAAGTACCAATTATTTCTGATATTATGGAATTTTATTTTTGTGGGCTTTTTGTTCAGTTGGCTTGAGATTTTTGAGACAGGATCTTACTATGTGGCCCAGGTTACTCTTGAACCCACTATATAGCCAGAGATGATCTTGGGTCTTGATCATCCAGCCTTTGCCATCCAAGTGCTGGCTTCAAGGTGTGGACTACCACCAGGCATGGCTTTCCAGTTCTATGTTTTGAAGAAAATTTCTGAAACTTTTCTAGAGAGATCAGTTGGCAAGTCTTGTGTTTATATCCACATGTGTGCTTGTTGACGACTTAGAGACATGTGTCCCTGGAGCCTGCACACCCTCACACAGATGGTCTGAGGGGCAAGGCCTACCTGCTCAGTGAGCCTTTAGGAGAGCCATCCGAACAACAGTTTTCCAAAAGAGCACCTTAACTTGGTTTTAGTAAGATTTGTAGCAGATTTGGCACCAGGACCTTTATTATTTTTGTGGAGAATACTTTTGTCTTATTAAATGAAGTATATCACTGTCCACAGATGAGGGGTTTGGTTGTTGGGTTGTTTGGGAAGTTTTGATTTGAAGTTTGAAAATAAGTTTTGGTTTCTGACTTTTACAAAACTTCTTTTGAGGAAAAAATATGGAGAGATTTAGATTTTATACAAGATCCAATTTATATTATTCTCGATTTGTGTCATGCTCCTTTTTCTTTTAACCTTTATCTGTATGGAATATTTGCCTGTATTAATGGCTGTGCACCACATGCATGCAGCACTGCAGGTGGAACTGGAGGCACAGATGACTGAGCTGTGGGTGCTGCGACTCTGAGTGATCAACCTGTGCTCTTGAACTGCCGAGCTCTATCTCTCTAGCTCTTTTTTTTACCTTTTCTTTTTCCTTAAAAATTTTCTAATTTCAAGCCGGGCGGTGGTGGCGCACGCCTTTAATCCCAGCACTCGGGAGGCAGAGACAGGCGGATCTCTGTGAGTTCGAGACCAGCCTGGTCTACAGAGCTAGTGCCAGGACAGGCTCCAAAGCCACAGAGAAACCCTGTCTCGAAAAATCAAAAAAAAAAATTTCTAATTTCTAAATAAAGTTTAATATTGCTTTGCTTTTCTTGTAATTTTAGAGTAACTATCAGGAATATTTTTATTTTTTACTCTGAAAATTAGGGGAAAGTAAGCCATTTAGCTTGTGACAGTTAGACCTGGTAAGGTATCCTGAACTTTAATAGCTCTTAGGATCTCAAATGCTGGCCATTTCAAAAATAGAAAAGTATTCTTGGTTGCTATGAAACTTTTTTTGTAGTGTTCCTGTAACTGCAGAGTTCTGAGCACTTCTGAAGTCTATATAAGGTTCTCAGGCAGGCAGAGGCCATGTGTTTTTATGACTGCTCGTCAGAGGGTTGTGGCTCCCTGGAAGTGGGGGACTAGTGAGCCTAAAGGGAGTCTGTGTGTACTGTCAAGGCAGAAACGGCACAGCTCTCCCGTGTGCTGTCTGCTCCATGTACTGCACACAGTGCTGGTGTACACTTAGAGCTCCGTTTACTGCACACAGTGCTGGTGTATGCTTCAGATATGTTGGGGCAAAACTTGGGTGAAAGGGCAGGTGTTGTTGCCTCATTTCAAAGGCTGTTTTGTTTTCGTTTTTAGAAAACTTTCTAGGGTTCTGGCTACAGTTTGGTGGTGAAGGGCGTGCTGATCATCTAAAAAGCCCTGGGTGCACTTGGCACCATGAAAACCAAATTGAAAATGAAAAATTGCTTTTATACTATAATTTTTTTCTCTATATTTTAAGACAGCAGGAGGCATTGTTACTCTGATCCTTAGAGAACATAGGCAAGAAAATCATGTGATGTGTTCCTCTAACAGTAATTTCAGTAATCCAATACATGATTTTGATTCACTTTTTTAAATGGTGCTTGAAATTGAGATTAATGCTTTCAAAAACTAGCATTTTTCTAATTTTTTTATGTAGTAATTGACTGTAGATGCTTTGCAGTTTGTTCAGTGAGAATGCTGATCATGAAATGCCTTTTCAGACGCTTTGCATGCATACTTCGGGATCTGCGGCCTGTCCCTAATGGAGGAGAGTGGAATCTGTAAGGTTCATCCTGCTCTGAATGTAAGCACACGAACTTCTGAGCGCCTTCAAGATCTCCATCAAAGCTGGAAGACCAAGGACTCTAAAGAGTGCTCAGAGAATGTCCATATTTCTACTTGACTGACCCTGGGTCGTGGGTTTGTAGCATAACTGTAGCTCAAGGTTAAAAGCCATGTGTAACCAAGTGTGCTCTTTTTTAAGGGGTAGTCTTAAGTCAAAGCTTGTACTGCTAACACTGCAGGATTGGTCTTGATCCAGTAACCACTGTACTGGATTTCAAGACCTCCGCAGGACTCTGTTGTGGCTCTTAAGTGTTTATACCGTGTTTCTGAGAAGTTTCTTGGGGGAGATCTGTATGTGTGTTATCTTCTTAAAACCCTTCAGTACAAGTTCTGGCTTACAATGGACATAATTCTTCAAGTTTACACTTCATATGGCATTGATAATCTTGAGGTGAGCATTTAGTGATCACTTAAAAATGTCTACTGCTGATGGTAAGAAATTTGCTTTATTCAATTAAGTATCTGGATTATTCTTTAAAAATCGATGCTCTTATAATTTTCTTCAAGAATAACATATTTTGTGTTATTCTTAAGATGTGCCAACTAGACTTGTGTAACCTAAAAGGATGAAATTAAAAGTTCATGGTAAGGAAAAATAGGCTTAACTAATACTATAGTTTTCTACAGAGAGAGTACTGCATAACTGAGGGAGAAGTGATTGAACTGTGAAATTATGAATGAGAAGGGTTTGTGTTGTGTGTCTTTATTAGAGGTTCCTTGGATGAGTACCTGTTCTGTTTTGTTTTAATCCCAAATCACTGGCTACTTTTTGTCCGGGCAAGGGAGGAAATAATCTTGGCTATTTAGAAACAAAGACATTCGGTGTTCTATTCTTCTGAAGTTCATGATACTGTAAATTATACTTGTACAGTTCTTTTTAGTTGCTTGGCTGTTTTCTTTTCTTTCTTTTTTTTTTTTTGCTCAGTATTTTATAGCCACTATAGTTAGCTGCTTTATCTCTCATTTACCAGGTTGAGCATCTTTAATCCAAAATTCGATATCTGACCAGGTATAGTGAGGCATATGCCTTTAACTCAGCACCCAGGAGGTAGAGGCAGGCAGAACTCTGTGAGTTCAAGGGCAGCTAGAACTACATAGTGAGACCTTGTCTGTCTGCCACCCCCCCCCAAAAAAAAACAGCAACAAAAATAATGAAAATCCATTATCTGAAATGGTCAGAATCTAAATTTTTTTACTGTCAGTATGACACAGTTGGAAAATTCCACCACTCCATGCAGCAGGTCTCAGATGAGTTTCAGGGACACGGTGAGTAGTGTGTAAAGCTGCTTGAAACTGCCGAGTAAAAGGCATGGGATAAATGCATCCCGTGTTCAGGCACGGGTCCCGTCCGCAGGGGAAAGTGTTTATGTAAATGGCCCGAAATCTGAACACAGAATCTAAAATCTGAAACATTACTTTTAGTTCCATGCGTTCTGGATAGTGAGACTCAGCCTGGAAATGATTTTCTAATGTTTTTAAGTTTGATAAATCTTTAACTACAAACAGAACCACGGAAGTATACATAATCATTTCTATTTTTCTATTTTTGACTAAGTGGGAAGAAAATATATCCATCTAGAGGGGATAAACTATGGTTTTACTTATTCATTGTCTTATCTTAATTTTGTGAACTAACAACCAAAAGAAGTTGGTGTAAAATTCTTCGTTAGCAATCAACTCGTCATTAAATCACATCCTTGACTTAGTGACAAGAGGGAAATTTCTTCACTAGAGGAAATGGATGTGTTGGTCTTGCTCATAATAAAAGTTATATCATTAATCTACAGACATCATTGTAAAAGCTAAATTATTAGTGTTACTGGGTAGATAATAACATCTTCATTATTAACTAAAGAGACATTTCCTAAATAATATTTCAAAAGGGAAACCTGGCATATGATTAAAAATAATACATCACTTATTGGCATGTTTAGTTTTAGAATTGAGTTTGCAAAGTCCAATAAAGCAGTTTTGGGAGTCTAGCTCATGGCCCTGACTCCCTGGCTTTGATCCTTGACCCCAAAACTAACAAACCAACCAAATTCTCTTTATAAATCAGTCTTTCAGTGGTGGAGAGAACAGCTTTACCAACAAACGTTATCATCCCATGAGTTGTTCCAGTTGTTTCTGTTTAAATCCAAGCAAATAACAACAATCCTGTCTCAAACTGAGTTATCTCTTAGACATTAAGAACTGAAACAGCGATACGGAAATGCTCTAGGTGTATAGCAGAAGCCAATGTTTTTCCTGAGTTGCTGTCAGTTATAGAAGGTAAGAAAATTGGTTATTAATAAGTAGAAGATTTATAACATAAAAGTAAATTATATTTTCAAACTCCTTGAGTAATTTATTTTCAAAGGAATATTAATGGCAGAATAATTTTACTGTACTCAAAGAGGCTAGGTTCCACGTGATACTTTATGGACCAGTGAATGTTTGTGTTTCATAGAAACATATCAACCAAAAAATGTTGAGTTGTTTTGAAGTACGGAAAAACTATTTCTAGCTTTTCCTAAAGAGTTGTATCTAAGAAAATATTTATTAATAAAGTAAATTCTAAGCACTGTTATACATAGAACCTGTTCTCTAGCAGTAGTGACAGTAAGAGGAGAAACATGAAGACGTGCAGCACCTTCCCTCCAGCCGGCCTCTCTCCATTTCCTTAGTGTACTTTCGAAGAGTAAGAGCAGGAAACATTTATTTACTACCTACAGTTTTAGGTTTGACCTGTAATACTTGTTTTTATTAGACTTTTAAATAGGTATTTATAAGTAATAAAGTTCAAATATAAATTTTGCTGACAGTGGTGATAATTTGAAGTGTCAGACCTGATAGAATTTGATAAACAGAATGATGGAGGTTGTCTGAAGCAGGGTGACTTGAGGTTTATACCACATATCTGCCCGTGAGCTGCATGATCTTAGACCCAATTTTCCCTGTTGGTAAAATGAAGTAAACATTAGAGTAATTTCAATAGGCAGATTCAGGAATAAATGAGATAGTATATTAAAAGCACTTTTTCTCATTATAGTTTCATATGACCATAAAAGTGTTTTTAAAAATTTCTTATACGATAGAAATCTTAACAGGGTTTAAACTGAAGGAAGATGCTGCCAAGAGAGTAGCTTTTTAACTTTCCCAATAAGTAACAGAAGGAATATCAAGTATAGCCACAGTCATTGCAAAACTAGGTGACAGGTGGTACCAGCCTGAGCCTCAGCATACAAGTGAAAGAACAAATGTGACCTGTGTGGTTTTGGCCAGCGTAGTTTCACCTCTACAGAGGATCGAGGAGGAAAGCAGCCCGGTTCCGAAGCCCTGCAAATCGGAGAACTGTGGTATTGCCATGTTCTCACTGCAGAGGGCAGTGGGCAATCTGAAAATGAAGGCTGAAACCCGACAGAGCTGTGCAGAATCCTGCCAGTGATCTGGTGAGTGCGGGACAGTGGAAGGTATGCTGGTCATAGTAAAAAGGACAACCTGGCCTGAGCTGTGTACTGTTTGAAGTTAGGGAAAGCACAGCACTGGGAAGAAACTAGTAGAATTAGAATCCAACTGGACAGGCTAGGCATGAGACATAAAGGAGAGATAGCTAAAATAAGAATTGGGAGGAAACACCCGTAGACACAGATGCATGAATATAGGCATGTTCAGTCACTTAAATCACAGGAAAAGGAAGGGTACTGAGAAGAGAGAGCCACTTTGGAGCCACTTTCTAGAGCAACTCTTCTTTCTCAACAACAGTTTAACCTAAAGAAGAAAACAGGTGAGCATTCGGTTCCCAGAATTAGAGTGAACCAGACCAAGGCCCATGAAACCTAACACTAGGCCATGACAGCAGCATACAGTGTTTGCAGTGATACACATTGTCTCAGAACTGGAGCAAGGACGGGAGCGGAGAAATATGTACAGCTCAATAAAAACAATTAAAAAAAACTGGAGCACGGAGCAAAACGAAACCAAGCGGAGGAAGGAGGCAAAACAATAATGCAAAAGCCAGTTAGTCTTAAGTCAAGAAATGCAAAGGCTCCTTTGGCATGGTCGGAATCCTCAGGGAATTTAAGACACAGAGGAGGAGCCGGCAGGAAGACATAAGTGACAAAGGGAAGGGCCACTAAACACAACTGATTGCCAGTTGTCCTAGGATTCACACACAAATTCAAAGGAAATTTTTAGAGAAAAATGCAGATTAATAAAATTCAATGCAGAGAATAGAGCTACCATAGGAAAATGCAAACAAAAGATCATTGTACAATCTTGTAAGACTGAAGAATCTCAACATTGCTTTAATAATTCCAGAGGCCAGAAGAAGGATCTTGAACCTCAAATTGCTACATAAAAGGAAAATTTTCTCATGTTTACCTTGTAAAGTTGATAAAATGACATAAATTTTAAAACACAACAAAAATTATGGCAAAAAAGCAAATTTTGGGCCATTCAGGCTTACTAGTATCTCCACAGGCTGGGGCGATAGCTCTTTTGGCGGTGTTTGCCACTCAGTCACAAAAACCTGCGCTTGATCCCCAGCACCCAAGGTAAAAAGCCAAGCTTGATATTGCGCACTTGTTCCCAGCGCTGAGAAAGCAGAAACAGGCAGATACTGGAACCTGTCGGCTAGCCAGCCCAGCCTAATCGATGAGCCCCAAATCCACCCACAACCCTTCCTAGAAATAAGGTGAGGCAGGGGAGCTCTTTCATTTGGTAGAGGCTCTTGCTACACAAGCCTGGCAACCAAATTAGATTTCCTAGAATCCGTGTAAAGGTGGAAGGAGAAAACCAGCTCCATAGAGTTGTCCTATGGCCTCGTGCACGTCAGGACATGTATACCCATACACACTAATAATAATACATCTTAAAACCTTACGTGACAAGCTGAAGAGAACTGAGGTTGACCTCAGGCCTCCACACACCTGGAAACACAAACTTAACTATCAGTACAAACTACTCAGTGATTTGTTAGGCCCACAACCCAGTAGCACTTGAAAGAGGGAATAAAATCATGCCTCCATTGAGTTCATATTAGGAATGAAGGATAATTCAGCTTTCGAAAAGCTTAATAAGGTGTTAAAGAAAAGACATTTGATTTAGAATTAAGCCCTCATATCAGAAACTGATAAATAATTCCCAAACATTGCACCTCTACCCTGGAGGCAAGCATCCTACTGTTGAATCCAAAGAGCCTTTCTGATGAAGCCAGAACAAGACTCTGCTTGCTGTGTCCTTTACTACATAAAACCACACGAGAACTTGTAGCCAAGGAAGATTAGAGCAAAGATGTCAGTCAGGAAGAGATCAGACTTGGCAAACAGGATCATCTACTTGAAAAACCCCAAGGAATTTTTTGAGACACCAAACTGTAAGAGAACCTAAGTAGCAGCGGTCGTTAGCGTGCAGGCAGCGCGAGGACTGTGTTTTCACAGTTCCACAAGGCGGAGCCCAGTGTTGTCAGAAATCACCTTCTTCCAGCCAGGTCCGCTGTCGTGAGCTTTCCATAAGTGCGACTGTATGGTGTACACTGTGTCTTACTTGGCTTCTTTGCCCTGGAAGAGAATACAAGGGCTCTCTGGTGCTGATTACATAGGTGAATTCATTTTATGAATATTTATCAAGCTGTACCATCAATCATGCTTTGTGCACTGTTCTGTGTATGTAAATACAACTCAATAAAAATGTTTAGTTAAAAAAAGACTACATAACTATATCTGCATAAACCCAAGCCGTTTGGACGACACACCTCTAGATCTGTCTGTGATTACTGAACCAGAGGCTCATGTGTGAACTCAGTCAGACTCGTTTAAAACACCTCCATGAGAAAATCCTGCTTTGGAAAGGAAAACCCTTGGAAGACAACAGACTCGAACAAGTGTGTGCCTTAATGTTAATAGGAAGACAGCATCAAAACAGTTTTCTTGTGTTAGTTTGTAAATTTAATGCCACTGCCATAAATACTATGCTTGTTGAATGAGAGAACGTATTAGACTATCCGTTAAAACTGGGAAAGTGAGAAGAAACCAGCCCTGCCAGACACAGAGTGTTGGCAAAAACTATCAGAATTGAATATGTACAAGCTTTGCTCAGGCAGGTCCAGGTCTACACATTTATATTAAGTGCAGAAATAGATGCTGTGCTTTGAGGATCTTCCGGTGTATTTGTAAGTCATAGGAGAAAAGACTGTTTATGATACATTCATACAGTGTGACACTCATACAGGTGTTAAGACACACAATGATGTTCGTGATATATTGCTAAGTGAACCAAAAGTTTGGTATTAAAAAAATAGTTGTGTAAACAAGGAAAATGAAATGTTAGACTAGTCCCAGCGGCACATTAGAATAAAGGTGACGTCTGAAATCAGTGAGAAAGGGAACTTTTAACTAAGTACCTAGTTACCTAAGTAACTGTAATTGTTCACATATTTACACATTCTTTTTTTTTTTTGGTTTTTCGAGACAGGGTTTCTCTGTGGCTTTGGAGCCTGTCCTGGAGCTAGCTCAGTAGACCAGGCTGGTCTCGAACTCACAGAGATCCGCCTGCCTCTGCCTCCCGAGTGCTGGGATTAAAGGCGTGCGCCACCATCGCCCGGTATATTTACACATTCTTGAAGAGTGCATAGCTTCATCCATCTCAAACCTCTGCATGTGCACTATACACCAAGATACTGTATATTCTGTATTGTAAGTTTCAGTCACTCTGTGATACGATGTCTCTCAATATGTGGATTTTAACAATTGAGTATCGCCTAAGTTGTGACAAATATAAGGTACTTGAGAATGTATTTTCACACTACCTATTTGTGTGTTCCTTTTAGGTGAGTTTGTAATATGGAATTGTTGGGATAAACTTTTGCACATTCTAAATTCTGGTAGCTCTTGGCAAGTTGCTGCATAAGAAAGCCTTGCTTCCACAGCTTCTGCGAAAGGAATCTGCTGGTCAGTTTCTCCGTGGCTTTGGGGAAGACTGGCGGCTTATTCCTTGTCCTCATCTTGCACCTAAGTCTAAGAGCTGCTGGCATCAGGTCTGTATTCCCAGCAATGGTTCCAGTGCTAGAGCACATGCCTTCCGTGTGCGTTCTTTCAGCCTGGAATCTTTCCTTAGCTGGGGTCTTTATCCTCCACCCTGTGGCCGCTTTCCACATCTTCCCTAATGTTCTGCTAACTTTTCATTAAAGCTCTACTTGAATTAAGGGCTGTTGTTTAAAGTGTATATGGGATTTTCTGAAGTAATTGAAGATAATAGTCTGTGCATACATGGTGTCTTCCTTTTGGAAGGTGGTATATATGGTTCTGTAGAACTATAGACTACAAAATGCAGGTTTTTGGTTTTTTTTTTTTTTAAGTGTGTGTAAAGGCTAGGGATGTAGGTCTGCAGTAAAGCATGTGCTTAGCATGCACCAGGCTATGGGTCCCATCCTCAGCACCACCGTCAAACAGAAATACTATGTGGAAACATGGAAGGCACGGGAAACTGAAATGCACGGGAAAGGTGTTTTGATGGCTAAGATTCATAGCTGGTCTTCATCCTCATTTCGTCCTTTTTGAACAAGTCAGGGGAGTTTGGTGGACTATCTTCTCTAAGGAAACAGTGGCCGAGATAATCAGTTTGATAAGTGCACTAGAGTAGCTTCCTACAACATTAAAAGAGGTTTATCTTGTAGTTTAAATTTCAGCAGTTGAGTACCACGGTAGACTATCCACAGAGGCCGTGTTGTTGCAGGGTTTTAACTGAGCGTGTTATGAAAGCTACCCAGTAGTAAGACTGCAGAAATACCCATGTAATCCTTCAGTGTCTTTTGTGACTCGGCACTCCTTTTATTCTCTTTCCCCTCCTGTATTCCAGGCTGTTCTCAGACCCTCCAATTCCTGAAGATGACCTTGAACTTCTGATCTTCCTGCCTCTCTTCTGGGCTGCTAGGGATTGTGTTTAGGTTAGGGCTGCTTGCGTGCCAGGTCGGCATTCTACTGATAGATACTTAGTTCATTTCTAATTTAAGAATGCTCCTATAAACACTGATTGATTTCTGCACGGTTCCCACAAAATGCATTTCTTGGCCAAAGGATGTGTTTTTAAAAAATATTGGTACTTATTTTTAAATTGTCCTATACAGACAGTGCATATTAACTCACCAGCCAGACTCTGTGTCTGTCCTCAGCCTCAGTTGCATTGGAATCTGTCAGTTGGAAGAGGTTTTTCTGGTGGGGGAAATGCTAATCCCTTATTACAGATACGCAGGAACACATTCTGGTAAGTTTGTGTGATGTTGAGTGCTGCGTTTATATGCCTGTAAGTGAGATCAGAAAATCATCTTTTTGTTAGCAGTTTCTAACATGGGCTTTCCAGACAGACTCATTGACATCACCTGGAACAGAAATAACAACTAAACTTCTCCTCCTCCCCCTCCTTCTGAATAAATAAATGTATAAACATTTATAAAGTTAGCTTATGTTGAAATAGCAACAGTAAATGTCTCACACCTGAGGGGCTGAGACTCAGTAGTTGCTCAGTTTATGAGGCTGCGGCCTCAGTTGTCCCAATCTGGGACCAGAAGCCTGGAAGGTTCCTGGGGAGCCAATGGTTCTAAGTCTGCAACTGATGCCTAGGAACACTGGTTCTAACACCAGTGAGGCAATCAGCAGCAACAGCGGTGAGTCACTGGGGTCAAGAGGGAAGGCCAAGTGAGCAAGTGGTGACTCCTCCTGGAACATCTCTTGTAAAATGAGGTTTCCTGCTTCTGGTGAACAGGAGACTACTGCACAGGGTGCCAGATGGCTGTTCGCACAGGCCTCTGAGTGGTTCTGATGGTTCAAGTTTTGGGAAAACTAGCTTGAGTAAGACAAGTAGTAATGATCTGTAAGCTTTCTATTTAAGAAATAGGGGTTGTACTAGACAGTAAATTCAATTTAATAATGTGATAGTTTTTTTACTTTCATCCACGAAAAGCTAGTGTGATGATGAGTCTGGTGGTACATAGAAATGTAGTGAACATGCAAATGTGTAAACAAACGAGGCATTTATTTCTCCAATATACCCATCTTTGTAGGACGTTAGAGACCATTTAAATGTGGTGGCTAACAATTTTAGTCTCTTTTCTCTTCGCTGTGTAACATGTTATTGTCCGTGGTAGGGCAAAGGGCACTCTGCACAGGTCACTGTTGTGGCCCTCTCCCTCGTGCCCCCTGGACTGCCTGCCCACTGCTGGTTTATCATGACCTTTCAAGGTTCCTTTCTGGCTGCTAATTTTGCAGTCCCAACACTCTAGTATCTTTTCTCCAAATTAGGCCTCTTTCTAGCTGATGTCAGTGACCCCTCTGTCCTGACTTCTCCCCACAAACATGTTTACTGCTCTGTCTTGTGCCAGAACTCCTAATGTTCTTTATGCTCGAAGCTCTGTCCCTTTATATATACCTAGCAACCTTTCCATTCTTAGTACCACTGGACAGTGACGGAACGTCAACCAAAAAGTCTGCTCCGCCTAGACCTTAAGGTCTCTGCTGTACCTCCAGAAGTGGCTCACAGGAACATGCTACATACTACTTGTCTAAATGTTGAAAACCTCATATAACTTATCAGCAAATCGTGTTCCATTTTCATTGGTTGACAAACATCTTCATGATGACAGAATTGAAAACATAAAGACTAGCCGGTCATACTAAAGAGCACACACCCACAGTTAGCTTGCACCTTCTACCCTAGGCTATACTCTGAAAAGGATTTCCCCATGACTTGGTTTCTTGCCAGTACTACAGATAACCACTTAGTCCTAGGGAGGGGTGAATGTCTAACACCTGCCCAGTCCTCTGCCCACATGTGTGCACCTGTGTGTATATTCCTGCTCAGTCTTTGCTATGGTCTGAGCCTCCTACACCCACCTATTTCACCCTCTAATTTTCTCAAAGAATAAGGCTGAAAAACCAGGTTTCGAATTTTTAGAAATATCTGTGTTGGGGTTCCCAGTAAATGTCAACTGTCCTCTTCCCACACCTTGTATAGCCCTGGCTGTCCAAACACTCTGTAGACCAGGCTAGCCTCAAACTCAGAGATCTACATCTCAGAAGAACTTCACTTTTTAAAACAGTACAGCGGAATCTCCACTTCTACCCAAGACAGAGTAGTGGAGATGATTTGCTGTCTTTAAAACTTTGGGGAAATATACGGGCCAGTGGCAATCAAGACCTTAAATATCAGGCAATTGGAAGTCGCCCCTATGGGACAATGAAACAACTGAGATGAGCAGTTGACCTACCTTGCTCCTTTTGAGACATCCTAGATAGACCACCATACAGAGAGGAGATACAGGCGGAGAAACCTCCTAGAAAGAGGTTTCCAGGAGAACAAGATGGATTGACTTCCTTGGTCCAAGTGTCAGGAGACAAGGCCATAAACAGTTATTTTCTTATATTGCATATGCTCAAAGTAGGCCAGCCTGGTCTGCATAGTTCAAGAATAGTCAGAGCTACATAGTGAGACCCTGTCTCAAAACAAACACAAACAAATGAACAACAAAACAATGACAGAAAGGCTAATTTGGATGTTTCAAACTGCTCGCTCTCATTGTTCCCAGTTTCCCACTTCCCTGCCTGTTTACTCATGCATGATAGCTCATGCTCTAATGATGTGGGAGTGTCATATCAATCTGTTGATTTCATTGGCTGAGCAATAAAGAAACTGCTGGCCCTGATAGGTTAAAAGATAGGTGGGCGGAATAAACAGAATAGAATTCTGGGCGGAAGAGGAAGTGAGGTCAGACTCTGCGCTGCTTCCAGAGGGACTGGACAGCCGCCATGCTCCGCTCTCCCAGGCAGCTGCAACCCAAGATGGACTTAGGCTAGAATCTTCCCGGTAAGCGCACCTTGGGGTGCTTACACACATTACTAGAAATGGGCTAGTCCAGGTGCGAGAATTAGCCTGTAAGGGTTAGAGTTCAGGGGCCAAGCAGTTCTTAAATGAATACAGTTTGTGTGTTGTTATTTCGGGCATGAGCTAGCCAAGCGGCCGGGATGTTGGGGAAGCAACCCCGCCGCCGCTCTTTATTTCAACACTCTAACACCTGGCAGACCCTGAAGGCATCTATGCTTGTGTTCTAGTCAATACACTTATGCACCAGCCAGACGTGGACATACAAGGCCCTGCCCTCACTGCTGAACCATTTCAGCTGGATCAGTCAGGGAGAGAGGGAGTTGTTGCCATCAGTTGTGTTCCCATTAGTAACCCTACTGGGCTTTAACTCCAACACAGGTAGCCCTGGTTAAATCAAATGGTCCACCAAACAAAGCCTAAAGTCATGAATCTGGAAAACAGACAGGTAAGGAGGGAGAGGGGTAGTGGGATTGGGAAGAAGATGTGAGAGTAGAGGTGGCCAAAATGTATTGTCCATATGTATGAAATTGCCAACTAAATATTTTTAAATATTTATTTAACTTTCTTTTATGTGCATTTGGTATGGAGGTGTCAGATTCCCTGGAACTGAAGTTATAAGCAGCTGTGAGCTGCCATGTGGGTGCTGGGAACTGAACCTGGGTCCTCTGGGAGAGCAGTCAGTTCTCTTAACCACTGATGCATCTCTCCAGCCCTGCAAACTAAATATTTTTAAAAGATTTAGTCAGGTGTAGTAGATGCAAGGAAGCAAGTGAGTTTCTGGAAGCACTGCAGTGTGTTTCCAAGCATGTTTAGAGAGGTGCAAACATTATCGAATGAGGTACAGTCTGATCCAAATTCCTACAGCTCTCCCTTGTACACAGGGATATACTAACAACTCTAGAGTCCCTCTTACTTGTACAC